TTCAAAAAAAAATTTTGAGGTTACCGGCGGCGCCGGAATAGGTGACCGGCGCCGGGAGAGGTGGTGGAGGCTGTGTCTGGTGTGGTGGGTTGGGTCACTTGGGTGAGGGAGGAAGAAAAGTTTTTGAGAAATTTTTTGTGTATAGATTTTTGAAGTGTGTAGGTAAAAAACTTTGAAAAGTTTTTTGGGGTTCCTGTAGCAAAAGTTGTTAAAAAACTAGTAGCTAAAAAACTTGATAAAAAACTAGGGTGCCAAACAAGCCCTAAGTTTCCTTTTATCAAAAAAAAAATTAACACATGAGATGAGATTCCTCTTAATGATCTCCAATACAATATCATTTTATTAAACTCTTAATTAGATATATAACCAAGTGCAATATGCACCACATCATAAAAACGAGGCTAAGAAGTCTTGATGACCCTTGAACTTTTAGTGCGTAAAGTTTTAGCTCTTGAACAATAATTATGAAATTTTTGACCTATGATCTATCAAATGTGCAAACCATTGATCCCTCAAATTTCAACTGTTATCTTTGACGAAAACACTATCAAGTGCGATGGACGAGGAAAATCAAGAACAATATAATATATCTCTCTCTCTATCTCTCTTTTCCAACTCTCTTTCTGAGTTGAATCTCGAAATGAAACCTAACAAATAGAGGAGTTGGAGGAAATTTTTGCAAAAACCAGAAAGCTGCTGTTTAAATTAGCCCACATGGGCTTCCATGTCCAGCCCACCCAAGCCTTAACCAAAACCGCAATCCAAAGAGGAGCAGTGAACATTATCAACCAACACAAGTTGGTTCAGTTGGCAAGAATAAGTTACTTCTTTATAAAATATCATGTGTTCGAATTCCGCTGCTGATGTGAGAACTGTGTTGATGGACGATCTATAAGTACCTCTATAAGTGACTTATGGTCCTAGAGGCCGAGTCAGTGACCGGAGTTGAATCTACCCTTTTTTTTAACAAAAAAAAAAAAAGCAAACATCATCAACTTCGTTATGGCATCCTAGATAGAGGAAACCCTTGAAATATCTCCAACAAAGCAATATGTACCAAAACCATCCTGTAATGTTTTAATGATACCACAGATAATTCATTCCCTTAAATCAAGAACTAAAGAATTCTTCCAGAAACATCTAAATTAAAAGATCTTATCCTTGAAAAGAAAAAAAAATCTAGATAAAATTGCAGAAGGTGTAGCCTTTAAGCACAACAACGAGTTAAGGGTTTTACAAAAAGAGAAAGACAAAAAAAAAAGATAAAAGATAACAAAAATTTTAGAAAACAGAGGAAGAAAAAAATATGAAAAGAAGAGTGAGTGAGAGAGCGTCAAGACAAAATGTCTCTCATTGGCCCTTGATTTTATGTTGTCATGTCGCATTTGATGGTGTTTCCGTCAAACATGACTGTTCAAATCAACAGAAGGATCAACGATTTTCACTTTTGATATATTGAGAATCAAAAGTTTCATAATAATTATTGGAGGGTTAAAACTTTATGCAACTAAAAGTTTAAGGGTTAGCGAGACTTTTTGCCCTAAAAACTAACAATTGAGCACCCTAAGGGATTGTCCATTGAATATACAAACCACTAATTAATTGCCCCTAATAATGTTACTTCTCTAACCAACTCCGAGTTGCTCACTAGGTGAAATATAAAGTACAAGTGAAATACAAAGGATATGCATCACCCGTTCGGTCTAAATAGGATTCTCTCCCTTCAGCCCTTTTTGATCCAATTAGGCCCTTTTTAGTATAGGATAAATTAGGAGTAGGAGTTGCTGATTGACCCCAAATACATAATATATACATATATATATGTATATATATATATCACTTTTCTAAAAGGGTAACACTCCAAATGGGCTGATTTCATAGGTAAAGGATTACATGCACAATCCACTGTGGCGTGGGGTTGGGATGTCATTGGGCTGACTTCACGAAAGCCCGATATGCATGTCCATGTGCAATGGCCCAGACGACCGACAACGCATAGGATTAAACTCAGCCGACGTTGAGCAGGGTTAAGAGCTTACGACAAGAGACGTAAGGTAGAGTGGACTTTTTTTGGAGTCCAGCGTGGCACATGAAAGTCTAAAACTGATGCTTCCTCGTTGCTACTATGAAGAACAAAAGACTCTTGGAAATCCAGAGAGAGACGTGGTGACCACATCCTGTATATTCTTTTCTTCAATAGAAGATCAGTTCTCGTGAAAAATTTGTTGTCCTACTAATTCTCAGAGCTTTTTTGCTTTTTTTTTTTGTGAAAACCCTAGTCTCTGTAAAAATCTGCAATAGGCAACAGAAAATTCATATTCAACTCTTTAGTTTAATACGGGAAAATGGCGGTACCGGTTGTGAGATTTCCGATATACGGAGTGGTGAGGATACTGGGGATAGCAGTGACAGTAACAGTGCTAACGTGGACGGTTCATTACAGAGGAGGATTGGCCCTCGTCTCCACCAATAAAGACCTCATCTTTAATGTAATTACTATTCCACTTCTATCTATTGTTTTTTCCTTTTCCTTTTCCTTTTATGGGGAATTCCCGAAAATTTCAATTATTTCTTTCTTCCAATTATCGACTTATTTGCCACCTGCATTCTATGAATCAAGCACCGGTGGATCCTTTTATTGTTTCTTTTGGGCTTTGAGGGGTTTTAGCATTGAGTTTTGTCCTCTATGGATTGTTCCGGATTGTTTATTGAATTTTGGTTTTTCATGTTTTGTTCAGGTTCATCCAGTTTTGATGGTGATTGGCCTGGTACTTCTAAATGGTGAAGGTGAGAATCTTCGTTTGAGTACTGAACTAAGGAGTAATCGACCTCTCCCATATTAATCCTATCCTGATTTGTTCATTATTGATTCATTTCATTCATCATGTATTCAGGAGCACGCATCTGTATTGCTTTCTGATATCTTCGTAAGTAATTGGTTTCTTGAGGTTTAGTTTTCATCATTTGTGGAGGCCTATTAGCTGTCAGATCAACACCTTAAATCGAAAGGCTAATGTTTAATTTTATTGAATCTTCAATCTAAGAAAAATTTGGTAACTGGTAATCACATTAATCCTGAACACGTCTAATTTGTTGCAATGTTGGAGGCTGCCTAATGCCTAGACTTACGGCTGGTTGATTTGCATTTCTATTTCTTAAGTTTGTTGAGTCATTCACCGATATTACAGTCTCCCAGCTAAAAGATGAAGTCTAGATAGCATTTGTAGTCGAGGCCTGATAAGGAATGTGCTGTATCTGTGGTGATATCCGGGCTACAAGTTGGCACCTGAATGACTTGCATTGTCGGGTCATTTCCCAATGGGTCATTTTTGGGAGTTAAGTTATGAACCCCAAATAGGTGTCGTAGAACAGGCTTGGTACGCAATGTACATCATCAAAAGCCTAATTTGGACACCCATACCATGTCTTTTGCTAATCTCTGTCAATCTGCATCAAATTCTGTTTTTCTAGTTTTAATGTTTGTGTTTTTCATGTGGATGACTAACTTCCTGAACCATTAAGGCAAACTTTTCCGTGATAAGTAATAGTTTTTCTCAGAAGTTTCAGAAATTTACACGCAGCTATATCATCAAGTTATTAAAGAAACTGCTAAGAACTTTATAAGAACTATTCCCAGTTTGTCAGATATCTATATTTATGTCAGTTGTCATGAATATTCTTGAGGCTTGTCTGTTAATCTGGTGATGGATATCGCTTTTTCAAATGTGTTGGCTTGTAATACTTCTTAATGTAGTCTACGTAGCTGATGTTGTCAGAAATGTGGTTTTTAATTACTTTGTCAATTCTTGCAGCTATGCTGGCATACAAGACAGTCCCCGGAACAAAAAGCTTCAAAAAATTAGTTCACCTCCTCCTGCAATTCTTGGCCCTCTCTTTTAGTGTAATTGGCTTATGGGCTGCATGGAAGTTTCACAATGACAAAGGAATCGACAACTTCTACAGTCTTCACTCGTGGCTGGGTTTAGCTTGTCTTTTCTTGTTTGCCATTCAGGTGCTTCTAGGAGCTTTTTGTTTTGCCTTCCCATTCACCCACCCTCTCACCCCCCAGCCCAAGTCCACATCTGTTTCCTCCTTTATATTCTCCTAAAATTTGCACCATGATTGTTGATGGATTAGTATTTCATGACCGCATATTAAATATTACGTTCTGTAGTGCAGTGGGCTGCTGGATTTGTAACGTTTTGGTATCCAGGTGGTTCAAGGAACAGCAGAGCTAGTCTGCTGCCATGGCACGTGTTCTTTGGCGTCTATATATATGCGCTTGCTATTGCCACTTGCACTACTGGTATTCTAGAGAAGGCTACATTTCTTCAAACCAACCAGATCATGTCACGCTACTCCAAAGAGGCATTGTTGGTAAACTCTTTAGGGATCTTGATTGTTGCTTTGGGTGGTTTTGTAATTCTTGCTGTCATCTCACCCGCTAACGGTAAAAGTGACGTTACAAAAAGCACAGTGGAGTAAGCATTAACTGGAATGCTTTTGAAACCTTTGAGGCTTAACCTGCTTCGTGCCTTTGGGGTGAATTTGTAAAGAATAGAAAGTTTTCAGGGTTGATATTGCAATAAACATTTCATTGGCTGCCAAGCGGATGGTATTAAATACAGGATTGAGTTCTGCCAAGCCAGGTACTCACTGCACTGAGATTCCAGCAAGCTTCACGCCTCCGCATTCCGCACCTTTGCCCGTATCAGGCAGGTGTGCCTTCATGCATGACCTTCGACGCAAGTGCACCTGGTTTCCTTGCTTCTGCCTCTACGGTTTCCAGCGTCCATTCCGCACCTTTGCCCGTATCAGGCAGGTGTGCTCCGGCGATTTTTTTTTTTCTTTCAAAAAAACTCTTGTACATTTAAAACACCAAAAATAGGCAGGATGTTGCAGTCTTTCCGTGGTTAAACTCAGCGACGTATCTCAAATCTACGAAAAAGTGATGTGCCCCGGAAATAGTCTACCGGCGGATAGAATCTTAAACTAAGGACTTTGTGGAGAGCAAAAATTGCAAATTTCCTTAAAGAGGGCTAAAAAGCTCATAACAACGTTACATATTTTCCTAAAACTGCTCGGAGAGGCGGACGAAACGCACTCTTCACAGAGTCAGGTGAAAATAGAATCAAACCAAAAACATAACGTACATGGAAAAGACAACTCATTATTCCAAAAAAGAAATCAAGGAGAAACTAATTTGAAGTTGCTGAAGATTGCCAATATCTCTCTCTCATCCTCAAGACCCACCACTGAAGCTTCAAATAAATGTATAGTAGGTGTTATATTCCGCTATGTCCATAGATGTTCTCTGCGGTATTCTCGAACAATGACAGGTACGCTAGTGGGAGGTATCTGGAAATGTTTAAAGATTACGGGTTAGCATATTAAGGCAAAACGCCATTTGGTGCAAACATGCACAATGCCACTGAGATGAGGATATAGAGAGGGGAGGGAAGGGGGGCATCAAGGAAAAAACACCAGGATATGCCCACGTAAGGACACAGGACAAGATAATAAAGGAAACGGGGCCAGAGCAGACATCCTTGACTGCATACACAAACATTGTGGTGCAGCACATGGTTCTCAGTTGAGTTATTGCAAGCATGTACCCTAGTCATATTATAAGCAATCAGGGAAGACAACAAGTACTCTTTTCTTTCTTTTGTTTCTTGTGGCAAGTAAATCTATTCTAAAACTTACTAACACTTACCATACCATAATCTGTGATGATCATCGAAACATAATCTGATGGTGTTGCATCATAACTGTTACAATAAAATTAAACAATGAGCATACATAGGTTATGGATATGGTACCTGAAATCCATGCGATAACCACACACACACACGCACCCCACCTACCCCACCCCACAAAAAAAAAGAACCCTCACTTACATGAGGTTCAAAAGCTGCAAATTATCACTATTGGCCCAATCATCCAAAGAGTCAATTTCTTTCCTACCAGGAACCTTTGCAATCATGTCTGGATCACCTGCAGTGTAATAAGGGCAGCTGAATAGTAAGAAAAATGATGACACAGAGCTATATCACATTTTAAACGGATTCCATATGATTTGCAAAAGTAAATGCATACCAAGTTCATTAGAGCAAATTGAATCGAGCTGCACCCTTTCATGAAACTTATAGGCTTCACAACATATAAGTACTGGAACTCGGAACTGGTGAGCAACCATTGCAACACAAGCAGTGCCAACCCTCGAGTAAACCGTTCCATTAGACAATACTGAGGAAGCACCCAAAAATACTCGAGTAACTTCATGCATTATATAAGAAACAGCATTTATGTGAGTGTATGTACAGCTAATACCCTTTCCTACCAATCTGCGAAGTAACAGCTTCCCTTCAAGCTTTGGACGTGAATCCACCACCACAACACGGAAATTTTTGCCAAGCTCATGGGCGTGTATCAACAACAACTCAACAGCAGAGGATGATCCATATGTGAGAAGAACATCGCCATCCCTAATCTTTGTTACAGCATGTCTGACTATTACCTTATCAGCTAGAATTATCTTCTCATTGATAAATCGATCAATATCTGACAAAAGAATTGCTTTTGCCTCTGATTCAGACAAGGCCAAAGGTAATTTGGCAATTTTTGATTTAAGAAATCTAATAGCATTGCCCATACTGATTGAAAGGGGTCTGCACTCAATCAGAAAAGATACATAAGAATTTATTTTCGAAGTCAAGTCCCTAATAAGAGCTTTTTCAGGCGGTGTTGAGTAGTCTTTAATTGACTCTTGAAATGCTTGAAGCATAGCAATACAGCGTGCATTGCCACCAGATATATCACCAGCTAGATACCTCAGACCAACCTGATTATAGGTACATAAATCACAACTAGTGTCAGGTCAAGATCCCAACGAAAATAGGAAAAAGAAAATTTGAAAATTGTATTACACATCAGAGTTGATAACAGTTGCTGCCTCTCTAATGGAAAAAATGCGAATATTTAGCCAAAAACTTTCAAACATAAATATTTCCACAACCCCCCCCCCCCCCAAAAAAATAAAAATAAACTTCATAGTATTAGTATCCACAAAAGATAAGTTCTTTAGCCTCACCTTATAAACAGCAGGATGAACAGGATCTAGTTGAAACAGCTTCGATTCAAGTTCAGGGAGCCTTGTTCCATGTTCATACTGAGGTAAATGCCTAAACAGTTCAACCCTGTTCTTTGCTTCGGTCTGCTTAACAACAGATCGTTTCTTTGCCTTCTCAACTCGGCTCTTATCATCAAACTGCATACGGGGGTGAGGGACATCCTTCTTCCTGTCTTTGTCTTGTGGACGATCACTGCCTCTTTTTTCAGAAGCTGCAACAGGAGAGTTATCCTTCTTCTGTGGAGAAGCCTTTGCAGCCTTCCCTGGGTTTGCATTTGCTGAAGAACCCAAACCAGATGAAGCAGCTGGTGTCTTACTACCATCACCTGCCCAATAATTACCAAAAAAAAAAAAAATATTATGCAATTGCCTTCACGGAGCACAAAGGCAATGTATATACCAAGAAAAGGATGATTTTATTATACTTGAACACAACAATGACCCAAAAATACTATGCTATGATGAGCAGTGATATTGGTTTGGACAATATAAAGCTGATACTAATGACAGTTTATAAGATCACCTCGAAAATTAAGCACACAATGACAGCTATTGAGTACTTGAGTCACTAATTAATGAATAAATGTCTCATCACTGGCGTCAATAAGAATTCTATCAGAGTACAACAACAGAATTCATTAAAGTTCTCAGGTGGAGGGGAAGCTACTTCCCGAAACAACAGTCAAGGTTCTTTTTAGCTTGGAAAAAAAAAGAAGCTCAGTATCATTAGCTTAGTAAAGGCACACTCTTTGAATTAACCAGGAAACTGCATGAGAAAATGTACTTTCCAAAGAAAGTTAAGAGATCGAAAAAGCACTCTAAGTGCACACGGAAACCTTTGACAGGACTCGGAAGAAAAAAATCAAACTGGAACTTGATATACCAAATGCAGACCTTTAGTTGCAGCCTTTGCTGCTCGTTGAGCTTCTTGAATTGCACGCCTTTCTGCTTTTGTGGTCTGCTCTTTCAGTGGCTTCGAACTGGCCTTGGATCCCGTCTTCGATCGTTCCTTCTGCACTTCAACACCAGCTCCGCCATCTTTTTCTATATTTCGTCCAAAAAAAAATTAGCATCAACCACCCACGGAAAAAGATAAGGCAAGGCCATAGATGCCCAAAAACCGTGCCGAAGCTTGAAGAATAATGGTGAAATCCAGTATATCAATGGGAGGAGAAGATGAGAAAATATTTGCAAGGATAGAGGAGATAATTTACCTGTTATGCCAGGGGGCATGTTGACAATGGAGACGGTGGTTAAACTACTAGCCGGGAAATTATTCTGCTTAAGGGATGACATATCAAATCCACCAGCTGGCAGGGAGGAAGCAAATTTACCAGAATTGCTCCGGCGAGCAGTCCAATTAGGGGAGAGAGCATCGTCAGTGAACTCTGAGGCCGTGGGAGCGACAAACTCGGAGGGATTGTAGCTGCCGACGGGGATAGAGTCGCGAGCGGCACGCATAGGGGAGAGCGGGGCAGCAGGAGAGAAATGGGGCCCACGAGCAAGATCGGCGGAAAGGTGACGCGGCGGAGGAATCATCACCGGGGACAGAGAGTTGCCGGAGGGGGAGATGTCAGAGACAGGAGGGGAGGAGGAGGCGGGATGGGGTGGACCAGATTGGGACCGGTCGGGTGGTGCGCCGGGAGCGAAAAACCCGACTTGTCTGACCTTGGGGTCGCTCACGGCCCGCGGGACTCGGCGAGCTTCCATCTCTGCGGTTTAGGGTTTTGCTATTACCGCGTAGGAGCTGGACACCTAAGGTTTAGGTCAGTGGAGGTGGAGGAAGTGGCAGAGTGGCTTTTCAGGTGGAAGGAACATTTAGAGGAGATTGCTATGCTTTTGGATCAGGATGACAAGGAGCAGTTGATTACTCAAAGTTAGGAATTGGGACTTGGGAGGAAGAAAAGTGAACTGCAAAGTAAAAAAAAAAAAAAACAAATTCAATGGTGATGAGTGATTCACTTGTTCATGACTTGAACAACGCCTGGTTTGAGAGTTTTTGTAATTTACTTATTAAAATTTAACAGGAGAATGGTGGAATTTAAAAGGCGAAGGAAAATATGAATCCAAAATTTTTTAAGTTCAGATGTTTGGTAAGCAAGCACACAGAGGCGCATCCGGACCCAAAAAAATAATTAAAAAAAAAATGAAGAAGAAGAAGAAAAGAGACTACAGTCAAAATCTTTACGATTGATGGTCGCTTTTGAGATTCTAGCAGTTGCAGAGTGGGTAGGATTGCAAATTTTAAAAGACTTCCTCCTATCACTTTCTCGTCGCATTTGCGAGGGGAAAAGAGAACGTGATTTCTTTTTCTTTGTCTGACTCGCGAACAAGAAGGCTGCTGCAGGTGTCCAATGTCCAATCCAATCCAATGCTTTTTTTTTTTTTTTTTTTTTTTTTTTCCAATCACCATCCAAACTTTAGGTCTGGGAGATTACCATGACCCAGAGAGACCTCAGCAATAAGGAAAGCCATAACTTAGGACCGAATTGTTCATCATTGCAACGTCGAATATGTTAAAAATTCCACGGACTAGCGTACAGTACAAGCAAGCCATGACATGAAAAGAAAGCAGCAGCTTCACTACATGAATAATAGTAGTACAGAAATCAACAATCGTCTTCCAATAATTCCAGCTAACTGTTTCATGTGAAACTGCGGCAGACTGGTCCCTTGGAAATTCCAAGACGCACTTCCATTCCATGATGCATGTCAGCCGGAGTGAAACTTTCAGAATCCCTTGGATCTGCCACGAACATTAGGGTGACTAGTAAGCAATATGAACCAATAAGAAGCCACAATCACAATCTCATACTAATCATTCCAGACAACTTTGAAATATTTCACACTGAAATCCCAATGAACCCGTTGGAAATCAAGTCAAAATTTTCAGCTATAACATCCAACTTTGTTTTTGGAGTTTGGAAGGGGGAAAATAACAAGAAAGATCCGCAAATATTTTAGAACAGACTTGTCTAAAGAGTTTAACAAAAAAAAAAACTAATCCAGTTGCTGTTCGTACCATTGAGATAATCCTCGAAGCCAAAATCTTCCAAAGACCCAGTCATAGCCTCTAACCCCAAATATGATGATGGAATCGCACCAGCTGGTCTTTGAAATCTCCTGAACAAAGATTATGAAAAGACAAAATGAGCTTCAAAGTTCCCATTAAAATGGTCTAATTATATATATAAAAAAAAAAAATACAAGGATGCTTCCTTTGAACTCTGTTGTTTTCTTGTATGTTTCATCGTTTCCACAGAATAAAGAATACATAACACGAGAAGGCTTTGGAAGACTATCCAAGTTGCTGAAGTTGATACAAAAGAATCATACAACACACGCAACTTATACTGCCCCAAAAACAGTTAAGAGAAAATTTCTCGAACATCAATCACCTCAAATATACATCATACACGCAAGATCGAAATAGATAAACTATTACTTTCATATTGAGACTAATATATATAAAGCACCAGCCTGATGGTAAAAGAAGCTGTCACATTATGTTTTGCATATTCTACCCCCATATGGTGAACCACTAAACCACCATGAAACTATCACAGCAACACTTATATTTTTCAAATTATTTCCAAAGTCATGACTACCAATAACTTGAAGATCTTTCTTCAAAATCATCTATTAATTTTTGTTAAAATATGCAGAGACATAGTGTGCTTCTCCCACTAATATTCAATAAGCACGGGCACAAGATGGTAAGAGCTGAATAGTTAAAGTGAGCCATCAACAAGAAGAATGTAGATGTTGCAAGAAACAATTGAAGATGCAATTTCACAGCCTGAGATAGAACCAACGTTAGAAAAGCCACTTTTTCCAACTCTAGACATTTCATGTGTGCAGTCAAGTAGCATGGCAAAAAGGAACATTATGGCATAAAGAAAAGCAATAAGAGGAAGCTGAACAGGGGGCCCAAAAAAAAACCCCCTCAATTGGTTTGTTTATGTCAAAAGGATCCAGGATTAATGATCTCGTTCCTGCACAAACCATCAACATTAATTCCTTATTCCCTCCAAAAACCCTCCTTTCTAAATTTTTGTAACCTTCAACAGTTTAAATTCATACTGCCACACAATAGAACCGTATAGATTGAGACACGCTACTCACTAAGCCCAGATCCAATTCAAACATTAGATATCATAAAGTTCATCGCCCCAATTTCTATTCGAATTTTAAGGTATAAAGCAAAGTAAAACACCGTCAAGCTAGCAACTTATTAACAAGCATAAATGACACAAATAATACTGAAAGAAAAGGGAAAAACCTAAATTGTAAAGAAGCCCTAAATCATCAATAAAACCCATTAATCACAGCCACTATATAACAAGACTGTAACTTTCAGCGAAAAAAAAAGCAAAAAAGAGATGAGAAAAACACAAACTTGGAGAGGATTTCTCGATCGAATTCCATCTTCAAAGGGAAAGCCGACCCGTAAGCGTTGGCCAGAATCTGCCTCTTCATCTGCTGCTGCCTCACGTGCGTCTAATGTCATTGAAATACACAAAAAATAAAATAAAAAAATGGCATCCAATCCATATATAAAAAGCTCGATGAAAATAAAATACTTAAAAAGCAATAATACACAAAACAATTGGTAATTGAACAAGGATAGAGAGGAATAGTACAGTATGATAAGCAGATTCAAGGGGATGCGATCCAACGATTTCCCCTTTGACGCTTTGGAGTCCGAATCGGAGCGTATCGAATTTGGGTTCCCCGATTTCCTGAGTGATAGTCTTCAACTGCTCTTCCATATTTGCTTTTTCCTCCCTTTTTCTTTGCTTGGTTTTTCTGTGTCTGCCTTCAGTTTCTTTAATACATGTCAGCAGCTAGGGGTATTTCAAAGAGGAGAGATTAGGAGGAAAACTTTGTAAACAAGAAAGGGTCGGCGGGCAGAGTAATACGGCGTCGTTCTTTAGGTGATTTCGGCCATTTTGAATGACTCTTGGCTTGTGTATGATCATGAGGCCCGTTTATATAAGGCCCTAAGGAAATTAAAGCCCAATTTTTAATGGGCTTGAGACACCTCGTTTTTCAGTTTTCATAGACGTGTATAATACCTGTTCAACCCGAACAGATTACGCATTCCACCTATGAACTAACCTGGTCCTTTCTTGTAGATGTGTTGTCCTTCGTTTTCCTGACACCAATATTTGGGCCAATCCAGAATAGATTATCCCTTAAACATTGGACCTGCAAAGAATAACATTGGAAAATATTCTGGCAAATATTAAAACAACTTTGTCCTCTTGCCGCATTCCTCCTATGGGTTGTTTAAATCCGAAGTTAAGACCCTAGTTGGGGAGAGGAGGGGGGGGGGGGGAGCGGGGGAATTACTTTGATTAAGGCAAGAATGAAAAAAATTTAATAACCAATATGACAGTTTGTGTGAATTTTGTTAAAATTATATTACAACAATAACAACTCCTTTTTTTCCCTGTATTTTCAAGAAGTACTTGGCTTCATTTGAAATATGGGATCATATATAAACTAAGTGATGAGTGTAGACTTTAACAACTCAGGGGATAAAGTAAATGAACATGGGAATTTTCAGAAATTTAAAGGGTGAAATTATAGGACAAGGTTGAAAATTTAAAATTTGTTTTCAAGTCAATTTTGAAAATTCTTCAAAGTTGGGGAGGGTGCAATTGCCCACCTACACTTGAATGTGGCTCTATCACGGGCAATAATGTAGCTGCAATTTTAAGTTTTAACGCATACTTTTTAAGGTCAGTTTAATAAATCCAATGGTCAGACAAGGATTTTTAGAGTTTTTTTCTACCATCAAGTTCAAATTTCGAATTTTACGTCTTGTAGTTGAAGGTGAAAAAGGCACGGGAAAAGGTGGGGGGTTTAAAAAAAAAAAGGAAAACAAAAAAATCTAGTTCAATAAGATCAACTTAATGATACTACTAAGTGATGAAGCATCTTCTTTTTTTTTTTGGTAAAAAAAAAAAAAATTGCAGTATCTTCTATTAGCCCAGGTCAATAAGCTAGTAAAGGAAACGTACTCCGTCAGAACTCAGAAGAGCTATGTGCCTTGCTATTTAATTTAAATCCTTCCGTACCGACACCATTGCATAAAATAAGAGATTTGATTTGATCTCTGCTCTACTTCACAAGTACATTCTGACATTGCAGCTTGCGCGGGACCAAAAATTGTATTCCTATGCAGGTAATTACTTAAGTTTTAGATTTTTTTAAGGAAACATATAAGTTACTGGTGCTGCTTAGAAAAATTCAATTTCGTCTGGAAACGAGAAATATGCGCTTCAAACGCAAGCAAAGTTGGTCCGGGAATGACATCGTATTGCTCCATCGGTATGTGTATCCTTCGATCCTCAAGTTCTCAGTACTGACCAATATTCATCGTTATCTACTGACCAGTGCAACTGTACATTGGTACCACTTGCTTTGGAAAAAAATTCAATCTAAGGGATAATTGCAGAAACCTCAACCTTCCCTGAGGTTTCTGACATTTGTACTGGCCTTTCTTGTGGTTTGAAAAATTACATCGACCTCCCCTGAGATTACTGAAACTTTGCAAATTTAGTCCAAACGATTAAAATATTATTTTAGGGAGTAAAATTACAATTTTATACTAGATTTGCCCTTTGTACTATATATCCAATGAATGACAAAGTACTATAAATCAATTAACAATTAATAAATTTTAAAAAGTATAATTTATGAACAAAAACGCATTACTCATTTAAAGTACCAGCTCTTTACGAGTATTTTACTTTCAAATATTTCATTTATGATAAATATATCAATATTTGTAAGTAAAATTCAAAAAATTTTTATAGTAATATTCTTGCAAAAAGGAAATCGATAGGTTATTTATTTAATATAAATTAAATATTTTTTTTAAAAAATAAATGGCCCATAAAGTATTAATTTTTTATGATTTTCATCCATTACACGAGTAAAGTATTCGCTCTTTATGTGCATTTTATTCTGAATCATTTAATTTATGTTAAATACAAATGTTTTTAACTAAAATTGAAAAAGTGTTATATTAATATTTTTACGGAAGAGAAATTGGTAGGTTTTGTATTTAAAAAAATTAAATATTTGAAAGTAAATACAAATATGTATTTGAGCGTAAATATTTGTATTAAATTAAATGTTTGAAAGTAAAATACCCTTAAAGAACCGGTACTTTAAATAATTACCGGCTCTTTATAGGCAAACACGCATTACTCATTTAAAGTACCGGTTTTTACGGATATTTTACTTTCAAACATTTAATTTATGATAAATATATCAATGTTTGTTAGTAAAATTCAAAAAGTGTTATAGTAA